TACATACTCAAGTTCTGTAAATCTGCAGAGGTAAGACATTACCTATTCGAGTTCGGTGTGAAAACTTAAATACTAAATACTACTAACTTATCAAAATATATGGGAGCAAAGAAACATTACGCCAGGAAAATAAGATTATTCGGCATTTTAATATTAAATATATTTATCTTCTTTTTGAATTTAAATAAACTTCTGACCGTATTACAACTTCTATAAACAAATTGGCTAGCAAACTTTGTCAACTCATCGAAAAGTAATAGCATATAAGAGTTTTTTGATAATATATATATTTTTAATAATGCTTTCCAAAAATTTTTGGTCTACTACGTATAGTCTTCTAGTACTTTCCATGACGCAAAATCTAACTTTTTCCTGTTCAGGTTCTATACGACCTACGTTAAGATATCAGCCACATAATCATAAATTATGTATTTTAATTAAGTCACGCGTGAGACAAGACAAGTAAGACAGTGATACAGTGGTTTTGTTACGGCGTAACATCAATTCAAACAATGGATTATCTCTTGCTGAGATCTCGTAGAGCTCGAGTATTGTTCCACGGCCTTATTCATTCATGTCATAATACGGTATTATTATAGCCGTATGCCTGCCTTCTAACTGTATATACTTCACCTAGATGGTTTATTATAATAAGGATGGATCTCTGCTCTTGAGCACTAAATCGCATATTTTCACGTTAGTTGCGAGCGTACTTTGCAGTTTATTATTCTATTTTGTAGTGCAATTTGCTCTGTTGTTATGCAAATCTTTCGTCATACAATTGTGTCACGAATAAGTTAGAAACTGAGAGTTTGCAGCAATTCCAATTTAATTTCTGATATCACTTACAAAAATTATATCGAATTATTAATTATATTAAATTTGCCTTCTGTATATTAAAAAATTATGTTGTTATTTAGTTGTATAAAATAATTCACACTGAAATTAAATTTTTATGTAAGAAATGAATTGTATACTCATAATTTTTGTGTATATGATACACGTCTTAATTAAAATTAATTCATGGGTTTCAGTCATTTATTGTCTCTATTTATCAATTAAAATACGTTTCGGTGTATTTTTCCACCATTATCAGTTTTTATGGGTAGCGTTGTTTCAAAATGTTCTTTTTTAATTTTTAAATGTATGCCATGGCTTAAAGCAGCAACAACGCTACCCATAAAAACTGATGATGATGGAAAAATACACCGAAACGTATTTTAATTGATAAATAGAGACAATAAATGACTGAAACCCAGGAATTAATTTTGACTTGGAATTGAAACACGGTCAGGAAAGTATATACACATCTTAATATATTGAATATCTAATTCCAGAAGTTTGTAAACATTTTAGCCAACACACTGTAAATGTAAAATTAGTTTGTTATTGAGTTGTACGAAATAATTCGAATAAAAATTTAATTTTTATGACAAATGAATTGTTTACTTTCATAATTTGTGTGGATGTGATACACATCTTAATATGTAAAATTATATATTTAATAATTGTATTTTCCATTCCAGAGCCATAGTGTTCATAATATATCAGCATTCATCTCTCATCTGAAATCCGTCTTAAGATAGAAAAGTATAGTTACTACAATTCTGAAATGTGAATTTTAATACGACACACATTTCATTTTATAATTCAGCCAAAAACCAATACTTTCAAATTTTCGATTATCTGCTTGTTATGAGATTTCCATAATGTTTATTTGTAACTAAAACCTGTATAACAATATAGATAAATATTTTTCAAGATGTGAAATTTTTTATAATTGTTTTACCTATTCGTATTTATGTATGCATTATTAAAGCAACTTAAAGTTACAAAATTAAAAAAATTCCAAGCACGTACTCCACGTTCATTAAGTGTGAAGATTTCAATCTTTGGCAATGTTCCTATTATTTACTTTAGCTAAGTATTTAGCAACGAAGATAAATATTTAGTAGCAATAATATTTCATAATATATTGTTGTATGATACACATCTTAATATATTCAGCATKTAAAAAAATACATTTTATGTCAACAAAAAATGCTGTATTTAACAGTTTCTGTCACATATTTGTATTCTATGAATATTATATAAAAATATATATAAAAAAATGTAAATATTGGACTGCATTGATGATCAACTCTGGAACAGTATTAGTTCATGGCATTAAATATAACAAATTTTCTGTTAGTAGTTTCACCATTTAAACCATTCGATAAAAATCCACCAAAAATTTGCATTTTGAGCCAAATTAGTCAAATCAAGATCATTAATATTTTTTAAATAAAATTTTCAGTCAATCAGGTAGATTCCCAAATGCAGTTGTATAAAAATGGAAAAATGTAATGCAAATGTTGTCTTCAAATTGTTTACTAAACAGCAAGGTCAATAAGTAAATTTCCATAAAAATAGGACAAAGATGATGCATTAGTGAAGAAGCATAATATTTAACCGGCCAAATAACCTGTCAGCGCAGTTTACATGATTAATTATGCTTGCCTCGTAGTCTGGAAGAGACTGACAATCTGTTGAATTTTCTAAGAGGGGTTTCAGACTGCAGTTAGTTAGTTTAAAGTAAATAGCTGAATAAAATAAATTAACTCCTCTTTTGCACAAATAATACATCATTTTCGACAATATATTCCAGTAAAAAAATAATTTAAATTAATAAAATAAAATCGCAAAATTGAACCCCATCTAAATTCCATTTTTACGGATTTTCACCTGTAACTTAAAAAAGCATCATAATATTTTACAGTCTGAAATATTGAAAAAAAATTTTGCTCATTCTGGTAAATTTCGTGCACAATAAACATAAATAAAAATTTTAAAATCATCAATCTGAGATATGGAGTAAAGCTCAAACAAAACTTGTTAACTTTATGATTATTACGGTCGAGATGTATGCCGTTGCAGAGGCCATTTTTTGAATATCACCTCGAACGCATCAGCAAGATAAAAACCTGCGGAATGGAAGATAAATTTTCTTTTACTGGGTTTTCAGCCAAGGAAAGTGACATTATTATTTGCCGTTAAAAGTGCGCTTTCATTGGAACAAGAAAAAACTGGAGTCGAATGGTATTTGATTGAAATATCAATGTGCAAAAGGTCAATAGAAAGTTTCTTGCTAGGGAAACCAACGAGACGATCGAATAAATTATTTTTTCTGAATTTTAGAGTATGAAACCATGCTTAATTGTTAATAGTTCAAAGTTGAGCTATCAAGTTTTATCAATGCTTTAGATTAAATTTTTGGAGTCTATTTGAATTTTTTATCGACAGTAGCATAGTTTTAAATACGCGTTTTCGATAAAAATGTAGACTTATATAAATTCATATTCATTAAAATAATTGACATTATTTTTTCGTGAATTTACTGATACATGTTTGATTGAGTCACTTTCAAAAAAAATATCGCATATGTTAAAAGTATCTTTATTCAACACTAGTTCATATTTTTAATTATTACTAATTAAAACTGATCAACGAGATTTTCATTATTTGAGTGGATATGATACACATTTTATTACATATCAATGTTGCCATGTTAATGTTAATATTTTATATTGGCATCGCATTAGACTTAACACAGACAATGTAGCAATAACTAATAACAAATTGTATAATAAAATTTTTCAACAAACAAATTTCAAGTACAAAAACTTTGTAAGAATACCGACAAGCTCAACCGTTACTTTTTTTAATACAGCAAAAATCGTCTTTCGTAATTAATTAATTCAGTTCCTAATATTGAGCAAATGCCATTTTCGTTCTAATAGGAGAATTTAATAAAAATAATGGTTTTGAAAATGTATTTAAAATAAGTTTAGACACTAGTTACCTTTTTTAGCTACCTATCTTCAATAGTTTTTCATAGAACGAAATAAATGTTTTAACATGAAATAATACTTGTTCGAGAAACTCAAATTTAATTTTTCAACTCCCAAAAATTATATATCGTTTTTTACCATACTAATAGTGATTTCAAAAATTTAAAGTTTTAGATTTGCGCAAAAGACGGACAGATGTTTTACATTTATATTTGAAATATTTGACTAAAATTCACTCCAGAAATTAGTAAAGATTTTACATTTTTAAATTATATTTAATTTWTATTATGTATATTAGTGCATTTAAGTTATGTTATTGATAATTTAGTTATACATTGATATTTTATAAATATGGACAATTAGTATTCCCGCAAATGGGCGAATATTTGCCAAAAACTTCTAGATAGAATATACGTAGGTCATCTTGAAATAAACGGCTAAATCAGACGCAAAACACGAACCATCCCGAAACAAATACTAGATTTCACCAAACCAGCGTGAGTGCGTCTGTATGAAAGTGAATTCTCCACGAGCGAAACTAGTTTTGATGATTAAAATTGTGAACAAATTGACTAGAACTGGAAAATATCTAGGGCTTCCCTATCTTTCAGACCACAATGCTCTCCCTTCTTTAGATATCCTCAATAAATTGTTCTGTATATGAGCGTTTGTATGGCATCATAAAATTGTTAGAACACACTATTATTCATTTTGTCGCGTTTTTGTTGCTTGTTTCAAAATTACTTTTAACCGATCAATTTAAATTAGTAGTTACTTAAACATTGCTTTGCGACATTTCCTACAGATACGATCAAATGAGAACGTTTCGTATGCACGTTTATAATTGTTTATCCGTCTAATTCTGCCTTTATGTCTGATACACCCATAAAAATATAACTTATGATGCGGTTTTCAATTTGTTTAATTAAATTATTGGCTGTGCAATTTAAATATGGATGATTTATTCGATTTAATATACTCTATGGACACGAGTCATTAATTTTGATATACCCGCTAAAACCGATCCCTATTTTTCGTCGATTTTTCGTAGATTTTAAAGTGTAAATGTGGTAAATTAGCTCTGAAAATCCATATTTTCACATTGGATTTGTAGGCGCAAATTTGAAAATATCGCCGTACTGAACAGGTTAATGAATTGGTTTTTTCCAGACTCACAATGCCATAAAATGACTTCACTTAGTGATTTCAATGAAACCGTAAGATGGACAACTTCACTGAGGTCAATCTTTATGAATCATTTGATCAAAATCGGACAACGCCTGTTTTTGCCATTGGACCCGAATTTATTGCGCAATGGTAAGTACTACGCTTTTATCAATTACATTTCAATACAACAACAATTAATAGTGTTATTGGTGAGTCGCTGGCATTAAATGTTTGCTGTTTTTGGAAAACACTCTCACGCAAATACATTTTTTGATAGTTTGGAAACCAAACTTCTAGAATAAAATTTTTAATTGCTCAAAACCTTTTATGAAAATTACGCTGCATTTTCAAGCGCTCATTTATTATTCCGTTAAGTTTTATTAAATTAAGAAACCGTTTTGCTTAATTGCCACTCACATCTTATCATCACGGGTCTCAAAAATGCTTTGAGCGATGAGATTTTCTTAAACAACCAATTTAGCTATTCCAGTGAAATTATAAACGGGCGATTTTAAAATATTAATTAGTTTTATTGTCAGTTTTTAATAAAAGTTGGTAAAACTTTTCATTTTAGGCAAATCTTTCTGTATTAATAATAATTCAAAAGAAATTCCTGGGTTCCAGTCAATTTTATTGTTTCCCATTCAAAATGTTACAAAAACGTTTCGGTGTTTTTCTTCACCATCATCAGTTTGTATGTAATTTTTTTCAGTGGTTTGCCAAATGTGAAGGTAGAAACAACCATACAGACAAACTGATGATGGTGGAGAAAAACACCGAAACGTTTTTGTGACATTCTGAATGGTAAACAATAAAATTCACTGGAACCCAGGAATTTCTTTTGAATTAAGTTGAAATACAGTCAGGAGGATATACACAATGGATTAATAATAATCCTGTTCAAGTTTATATTTAGGTTTTTTCATTTATTTTCTGTTATGATCCATCAAATCAATGTATTGCTTGACTTGGTCAAAACTGGGATCAATTTTAATTGCCGCTGGCCCGTTGTGGCATTTGAACACGACAAAATCTGGATAAAACTTTGCTTTTTCGTTTGTTTGCTTCTGTGTTTTAAATTAGGGTTTTTAATATCTCTTTTCTAAATGAAATTTGTTACTATATTTTTTTAACTTAACATTTTGATATTTGGACTTAATTCTCATAAGCTCTGAGAAAATAATGCTGACTTGTTTCTTTAAAGTTCGTCAATGCGTTCTACTAAAGGTATACTTGAGGCAATTTTAAGTCTAAAGCCAATTTATACATATGAAGTCTTTTGCGTGATTTTTCTTCGTGTCTGTTCGGTTATACAATACTTGAACTAAATACAAAGGCTTCCAAAAATACAATTTTGCTGATAACGCTTTGCGAAGGAAATACCTGAATGCTGAAGGTTTCTTATTATTAAAACGTTTCTGATAAGGTCGTCGATCAAAAGGGCAAATCTATAGGAATTGTTTTCACTATATGTACCAACCACGCGTAGCTGATATAATTCAAGGTCGGTTATTACCGTGTAAAGCTGCACGAATTTGTAAAGAGCCGACGTTAAGTATTGATTGGATTCAAATAGCCATGGAATTTAAAAAGCCAACTTGAACACTGTTAAATTACAATGCACAAGGGACAATGTAGCAGGAGTGCGATTTCCACATGAATTTCCCATTTTATCTGATTATATATGATGTTTAGACATTGCGAGCCGTTTCCTATCTACTAGAGCTATTAAATAAACTATAACCACTTGGTATTAGCTTGAAAGTCATGTTGTCTGGACCCTTCAATTGGCCAGATTAGCATTGACGATTACGCAAAAATTGCTGATACGATTATATTACTTTATGAACTAATTGCAGTTTTTTAAAATTTATTTGCTTCCCATGGATTTACAAGCCATTAATGTTCCAATTACTCAGTCACGCACTAACAGAGTGGCGTAACTAAACATGATTCGCTTATTAAAGCCACATGCTTCTTTCGTAAATTGTGTCTTTATGATTATTTATAACAACGATAACGACCAAACGATTTCAAAGATCGCGTTTTCTTAATTATTTGCATACCTTAACCCCAGCTGGCGTTTTTATAGAAAACTGATGAAAATGCAGGCAACTTTGAGTATTTTCGGCTACAATTTCACTGTGCATCTGGATATTCGACAAAATGTGCAGGCAGCTGTTGTAATTTAGTTAACCCGCATTTCTCTCGATTTAAAAAATCGATGGCATATAGTGGCCGATTTTTATGGCCCTGTTAAATCACTACTTGATTGGCAAATATCAACATACCCAACGGTTCAATCGAAAAATGAACATTAACCATCGAAATTAAAGTGTGTGCAGTTCGCATGCATTGTTTCTATTTGATCAAACCATGCACATTGCAAATGTAGCGAAATTATTTAAAATTAGGCCCATTTTTAACACTCTTTGTTGTTAGTTGTTTTCAAAATATGCTGTTACAAATTGTTCATCAAGCGTCTAAAACTACCAAGAATAAAATGCAAAGAGTAATGTGGTTTGGCCCTGAAAACAAAAGTGCCTTTTGCCTGGAAACTAGAATGGAAAACAACGTGGAAAAGTCTGCTGCATTGATGTGTACCTCTCAGAAATGTAATCAGTCGTAATCATGTTTCTTCTGGGCCAAACGTCGCGTAATTTCAGCGATAAGGCAAAGTAGCGGAGCAACTTCCACAGACAAATGTTTGGGCTTGTTTTGCATTAAACGACAGTGCTGGAGTGTGTGCTTTTTCACTTACCATAACGAACAAATTTGAAAGTTTTTGGGGCAAAAATACAACTGAATTTCAAAGAAAAATTCAAAGAAGGACATTCGGCTATTAGGTTCTTCAGACAGCAATTCTTCTTCAAACGATTATATCTTGGCACAAGACGGTTTCCCAGAAAATACATATCCAGAGCTTTGTTTTTTTACAAAATATCAATTAAACGATACATTTTCCAATAACGCCAATGTTTACTGTTGCTCAAAGTCTAAAATTGGCGCTAATAGTGGCGCACTAATTTACCATTGCGACAATTTATTTTCAAACATTTTCCTGAACTAGTGGTTATATTATTTTTCCTAAAGTAATATGATTATCGCATCTATTCTACTTTTCCTTTTCCTTCTGTTTTTCTAATAGAAACTAAATTAATATATTTTTGGTTTCGTCGACGCCAATGATTGTGAACAAATTGTTCAGCCTCTTTTAAACACTTCTCTGCTTGAGAGGAGTTTGAATTTTAAAAGCTCATTAAATGCAAATGGAAGCCCGCTACATTATTGGAGTTATTATACGTGCCTAGTGATTCTTGAAATAAAGGATGCCAGGAATTTCAACTAGCTTCGGTTCGACTCTTGTTAAAAGGAATATTAATGGTCAATAGATTCTGAATAGTGCATAATAATATATTTTTCAGCTGCAAATTAAAAAACTGTAATAGCATAGGCGGAGCTGAAAATTATACAAAATTTTAACTAGTGTTTAAAATACGTACTGAGTATTTGATACAGAGTGTTGACACTGTGCATCTCAAAATGCTTGCACTCAAATTGTGTCTCTTGTCATCAACATACCATTATTTGCACTGCAAATTTAGGGTTGAATTAAATTGTTAAACCTCTTTTATATATCCGAATCATTTATCTTAAAAGGATTTGGAAAAATGAATAAAAATGTACAGGTTTAATTTTAATTTAAAAAAATTGATTGCAAATAAATTGTTTAGAACTTTTAGACTGCAATTTTAAAGATCTGGAGTTTTACTAATTACTGTGCTAAGCTAATCGAGGGTCGCTTGATAAGTCAGTGAGTTTTTAAATTTCTCCCGCAGTAACTTTAAATTCAACACTACTTCCGTCAACTGTCGTCTGATAGTAGACTGCTGTGAAATTTTGTGATTGAAAGGAGATGACTTCGTCGAAATCGACGAAAATTGAAAAAAGATAATTTAACTTAAATTTTAACGTGAAAAACGATCAAAGAAACGAAGGAATATCTTAATAAAATGGGGACTTGCACCATCATTTGCAATAAAGGGTTTGGCCGAAATAAAATTTGCTCATTATTTATCGGAATATGACTCACATTTATTTTATAATTTTTGTTTCCATTTGCAAATAATTAATAACATTGATTGTATTTAAGGTAGGATATTATTTAACTCAGAAACACACTCTAACGTCTTTTTTAGGGGAATTAAAATTTATAAAATACATACATATAATTTTTATGAATATGTATAATTAACATGGTTATTACACACATTTTGACGGTTTCTGTCGAGGTAGAGGAGTAGTAAAACGTTTCTATCTAATACTTATTTGTTGTTCCCCAATCTTTTTTATAGGCGCTTGATGCAATTCTATGCAAAAATTCGAGTGTTTTTGAATTTATTAATTAAATAAAAAAAATTTTGGCGATTTTGGCTATAACAGAATTTAATCATATTTTGTTAGATTTTTGCCAATTTTTCATGGAGTTGCAATAGACAGAATTCATGTAGGAACAAGTGAGATTATTATTGCGCGGCATAATTTACGTGGATACGACGCGCATTTTGTTTTTATTTTAAGTAAGATAAACTGGACGCATAAGCGAAGCGGGTAATTTTCTGGCCAACTAATAAAGTCAAAAATAAATCGACCCAACATAGTGATTTTCTCATTTCAGTCAAAACTGATTAACGACCGTTAAACCATCTATTATTTCAGTATTCGACAGTGAAACTTTCAATAAAGCTGAGAAAATACAATGGATTTCTCCACAGATTAGATCCTTACACCAGAGTAGATACTTTACAAGGGTTAGATCACCTGAACATAATTTCATTATATGGCACAATTGAGTTGATGGATTGCGAATGAACTCGGCGTTTTCAAGGCAAAATATGTAGGTGTTATGTGCTTTTTATATCCAGAGATTCGGGTTTATCTCAAATGCTAGAGCACGTGCTTCGAAACTTTTATTACATGGAAAACCAATGGCTTTTGCGATAAATAAATGTAGGGCAAACATGTACTATCAAATAAAAAAACAATTTTGGAAATATTCCAGTGTAAAAATCTATTTGCTTATCCAATGGGGTATAACTTCTGACTTTGCCAAATTATAGCAAATAATCAGTCTAGCAGAAATCCCGATT